TACATTTCTAAGAGGCTCAACACCATTTAAACCTTAAATTCTCTCTTCCAAATGTCGCAGGTACGCACTCTTTTCTCTGTCTCTACCTGTAATGTTTATATCATACCAATAAATGTAATTCCATGTTGATTAATTATCGGTTTAGTCAAATAGCTTGTAATTTAATCATGTGGAATAAAAGTAGCTCATATTATAAAGACGTAAATTTACAATTTAGAACCAGATATAGACTTTGGAAGTCTTATTCTTGATCTACCCGGCGATACACATACAACCTGGAGAAGATTAAAAACGCAAAGAATCCAACGGCGGTGAAAGCAGCCAGCAACCAGTAGAAGTAATCGACATGGGCTCGGTTCAGGTTAGTATTGAACCAACTGTCTCCGCCATTTCTTCCGGCAGCCCAATTAATCACAGTGATGAGAAAACCACTCAAAAAGCTCGAAAGACCCATCGCACTCAGAGAGAGTGCAACACCGATACTCCTTAGCTCCGTTGGGACTTGGTCGTAGAAGAATTCTTGTGTRCCCACSAKAGAGAACACMTCGATCATYCCGAKTAACARATACTGAGGGAMRAACCACCAGATCGACATTGGCACAGTCGCGTCTGGCTTGTCCACAAATCCGTATTCTTTAGCAATTTCGAGCCGTTTCATTTCTACCAACGCGGCAACCACCATATTAAAGCTGGATAGCACCATTCCGGCTCCTATTCTCTGAAGCATTGTGATTCCAGAAGGCTTTTTGGTAATCAATCTAGCTAACGGGAGGAAAACACGCTCGTAAGTTGGAACTGAGATGCAAATGGATATGCCGATAAGCGCTTGAAAAGAAGCTGGAGGGATTTCCAAACCGGGCAAGATTTGTCTGTCTACTGTAACACCTTGCTTTGTGAAGAAAGTAGCATATTGAGCATATGGAATCGTGCTCACCACGGATGTGATCCATATTGGAATAAGCCTTACCAAAGCCATCGCGTCTTCCACGTCTCTACCATTACATGGCTCTACACCTCCTTCTCCGGATATCAACGCTTTCGCTAGAAACCTTAATTCAAAACGTACACATTTAAGAATACACTAAACTAAATATCAAATGATACAAAATGCTGGATGGGATTTGCGAAACTTACTCGAGCCGACCTCTACATTTCTCAGAMGAACCATCCTCCAACAAACCTTGTCCCGAACCCGAATGTGTTAAACTCAGTCTCCGATTCTTATAAGCCACAACGAAAACTCTGCCGATTCTAGCAAAAGTGTTCTTCTCCTTGCGATCACCTTTGGGATATCTATAAGTTTTTCTTCCGAGAAAGAAGAGAGCAAGAGCCATAACCATAAACAAACAAGGAATCCCAAACCCAAGCGCCCAACTAACATTGTCTTGAACATAAACAACCA